CGGGGGCCTGCGCTCCGGCTGCCCCACCCCGCGCGGCCCGCGCCCTGCGCGGCTCTCGGGCCCCGGCGCGCCCCGGAGGAACGCGGCCGCCGCTTCCCAGGGGACGGCCGAGCCTGCCCCCGTCGGCGCCTCCCCAAAAAGAGGCCCCCCCGCAGTGGCTCCCGACTGTCGGGCTCGCCAGCCTCGGCTTCCTACATGGAAGATCCGCGGGGGCAAAGAACGAAAGGCGTTCGGTTGAGCTGCTGGAGGGAGGAAAAAGCCTCTTTCCCCCTTGCTAAGCAACTTAATTTGGGGGTGGGGAAAAGCAGGCAATTAAAAAAAAAAAGCAGGCACGCGATTTATTTTTTTCCTCTATATCCTTAGTAACCGGATCCCCTCGAATTCCGTGCACACGAAGACTCGGGGGAGGAGGCTGAGCGGTCTTCACCCCGCATGAGATGTCTGGCGAAAGAAGAAGGCTCTCTCAGAACCTAAGAACCAAAATGCAAAGCCCCCAATGAAAAACACCACCTCCTCCAACCTCGGAGGTCTGGGGGCGTCCGGCTGGAGCTGGGGTTTAAAAAAATAAAAAAAGAAAATGTTTACAAAGTAGAACAAGATGTTTGAGGGGTGGCAAAACGTATCCGCAAGTTACATCCCCCCCTTTTTTCCTTGCAGAGCCCCGCTGGTCTTTCTCTCCTTTTCTTCTGCCAAAAAAAAAAAAAAAAATCGTATTTTTTTTTAATCCACAGAAAGCTTTCGCTAGACTGCTTCCATCCTGCGCATCTGGGTGCTGTAGGAGAGTCTCTGGTCTTCCCTGCTCCGCTCCCGGGAGCCCAGGTCCTCAGCGGGGACTTCCTCGGGGCTGGCGGGGGCGCAAGGGCAGAAGATGCTGCGTCGACGGCTGCGCCCAGCGGGGCTGACAGCGCGGGGGAGGGCGGCGCGGCAGCGGCGGGCCACCGGCGGGTCGCGCGTTCTCGTTCCTGTGGGCACAAGCTGGTTAGTGCAGGGGCTGCCGGTGCCCCTTCCCCCGGCCGCGGCTGGCCGCCGGGGCTCCCCGCATGGGCTGCTCGCCTTGACTCTGCTGCGGCGGCAAGAGGCCCCGATGTTCTCTCGTCGCCTCCTCCGAGACTCTCCTCGTCGCGCCTGGGAGCCTCCTTGTCCCCCGTCCGCCCTCTCCTGGCGCTCGGGTCTTTCTGCCACCACCAGGAGCTAGCCGCGCCTCGCTCAAGGGCTCCGGGGCCGGGCGTTTGGCTGCTCGGCGCCGGCGGGCTGGCTCTGTCTCGGGCAGCTCTCTCCCGCGCGGCGAGCAGACCGAGCACGGCGCCCGGCTGGCTCGGCTGGCGCGGCTTGGGGACAGGCTCCTCCGTGAGCGGAGCAGCGAGCGAGTGTGCCCGGGGCTCACCGCCTCCCGCAAGGCCTCCCGCCTCCGCCCCCTTCCCTCCCCCTTCCTCCCCCAGCTCCCCCCAACCCGGCCCTGTGCTCGGCTGGTTCCACTGCGCAGTGGCGCGCCCGGCTCCGGCCTCGTCACGTGGCCGTCTAGACACCCTGTCGCTTTAAAAAAAAAAAAAAGCGATTGTGTTTCGCAAACAACAGATCGGGTTTCTAAAAGCTATTTCTCCGCACCCCCCGACACTTGCCACCCCCTCCCAAGTCTGCAGAGGGGTACCAATGGCGGGGGGAGAGAAAGGTGGGGAGCAGAGAAGCTCCCAGAATCGCCTGAGACCCGGCTAGAGCAGTGGAGAAATTGGAAGAGCTGGAGCGCCCAGCGGGCTTCGTCGCCGAGTTTTGGAGCTGAACAAGCGGGTCGGTGGCCCGATTTAGACCCAGCGGGGCTCCGCTGTGGCCATCCCGCGCGCTCTCGCCCCAGCGCTTCATTCATTCGTTTTGTTTTGAAGGCCCTGGCGGCAGATCTTTTGGCTGCGCCGGAGGAAAAGGGGAGGAGAGCGCTGTCTCGGTTTTAAAAGACATTTTACACCGGACTGGACCCGGGCCCTGGGAAGTGTGCGCTGGAGGGAACAGCCGGGCCGCTGAGGGCGGGGAGGCGGCGCGAATATGACCTCAGCGGCGGCCGCGCGCTCCCTCCCGCCCTCTCTGCTCCGGGCTCCGGTTTCTAGGACTGCCTGGAGAAGCGTGTCTTGTGCATAGCTTTGGAATGCATTTGGCCGGCTGACGAGCTGCGAGGGGGCAGCATCCTGGCGGGAGAAGGGGGGCGGGGAGGGGGGCTCGCCTGCGAGCCGCCGGCAGGTTTCCCTCTCCGCCCGGAAGACCTCCGCCACCCAGCCTCCTGGCGCGGGAAGGTTACCCAGCGTGCAGATCTGCCTGGGACATTTATTTGCATGCGGGTCCTATTTCTGCCCTCTTCTGAGCCTCATAGCTTTCAAGGTGCTTAGGGTCAGAGAGTTTATCCCTTTACCCCAGGTTCCGGAGAAACATATCCAGGTGGCAAGTTACTGCATGGCAATGAGCAGGACATTAGTAAGGAAACACCTGAACGCGGTTGCAGTGTGAAAGCTGATGGTACTGAGAAACGTAATAATTTAAATATATACACTCCAGTATTGACGAGGCCACTGGTTGGCATGGTGATCTCACCTAATATTCAGTGAAATGCGATTTTTTTTAAAGTCATTTAGAATTGTGAGATCAGGACAGCAATGAAACTCTTTGAGGATTTTAAAGACTCTTTAGGAAAGGTAAAATGTACTATTTTCATCTCCCCAGCTAAATTATATGTTCTTAAAAGGAAAAGGCAAAAATGTATCTTAGCTGCCTTTAGAGCTCAGGTTCTCTCCCTTGCAACAATTTAAAAATTTTCTAACATAGAAAGAACAGTGGATGCTTACAAAGTATTTAATAATCAACACTTAGAATTGGGTAGAACTTAAAGGGACATTTGACCTACTCTCCCACCCCACCTAGAGTAACTTTGGTAATATAAATTAGGAGAAAATCAGCAATGCTGATTACATGACCTTCTATCCTGGGGGCCTGACACTCATACTTCTTCTTCTTGTTTTTTTCTGAACGTTTACTGTGTAAGGACACACTGGCTGCAATTGTACAGAGTGATTTTTGTTACAAATTAAAATATTTCTTATTGAAAAAGGCACTGAAACTATGTGAGAGTCAACTGTTCAAAGCAACTTTTGAAGACAGTAGTTAAGAAAGCCCAGGAGGGAATTGAAAAAGGGCAATCTCATAAACATAGGCAGGAAAAGGCACAAGTGACAGAGATAAGTTTGTTTGTTTGAGACAGAGCCTCAAGCTGTCGCCCTGGGTAGAGTGCTGTGGCATCACAGCTCACAGCAACCTCCAACTCCTGGACTTAAGTGATTCTCTGGCCTCAACCTCCCAAGTAGCTGAGACTACAGGTGCCCACCACAATGCCCAGCTATTTTTTGGTTATGGTTGTCATTGTTGTTTTAGTAGGCCCAGGCTGGATTCAAACCTGCCAGCTCTGGTGTATGTGGCTGGCACCTTAGCCGCTTGAGGTACAGGCGCCAAGTCCAGAGATGAGATTTTTGAGGTGTCTGGGAGATGTGTAACATACTCACCTTAGAAAGAACAACAGAGTCAGAAAACCTGATTCCGGGCTGAGGCTTTGCCACTCACTGGTTGGCAAAGTGCTAATAGTGATCCTTGTGTTAGGTGAGCACTTGGCAGGGTTTATAAGGCTTTCTGGACAAGCCTTCTGATCTCTGGGGTCCCATTCCCTCTCTCCTTTCTGGGTGTCCTAGAAAATCTTCACTTTTTGAGAGTGGCCGGGCCAGGCTTCATAGTAACAGGAAGTACTTTAATAAACAGAGAAAGAAAATGTCATAATTCTAAGTAAGCTTCTTGGCTAAATGGAGAATCTGAAGTATCTTTTAGAAACCTGGCCAATGTTGCTAGCACTCTGCATTGAGAGGCCAGAGCACACGCACAGGGCAGGTAGGTTTAGTGGGTGTTTCAAGAGATGACTCTGACGTCACAGCTTGTCTAGATGGAACAAGCATATACTTGCAGCGATATGTTCCCATATAGTGTAATTGTAGGTGTTTTTAATTCAGGCGTCACCCCAATCTTGCCCTTTCTACCTAGCTGCCCTCTTCCGTTTTGCTACCCTAGGCAGACAGTGGGTGGGATGCTGAGGAGCACCCGGCAGTGATTGGTGCTACTTTATGGCCCTCTGGCATCCCCTGAATCAGTTAACATCCCAACCCTCCTGACAGTCAGCCCCACCCATTGCATTCTTACTCCTTTCCTTTCCAAGAAAGAAGCCAGAACCCTGGTGGTAGAGGAACTACTTGCCAGCCAAAGGGAGTTCCCTCTTTTCCTTCCACAGGCACAAATGAGACCAACAAGCACACAGTTTCAGACTACTCTGACCCTTAAAAAAAAAAAAAAAAAAGTTTAGGAGTTCTCCAAACTATTGTGAATGAGTTTGATTCTAATCATTTGCTGGCAGGGAATATGGAATAAAATATCTCATTTGCAGTTGTTTATTTCCTGTTGTGGCTTCTATTTTCATCTTTTAGTCGCTTTGGTGATAGTAATCAAACCCTAATCATGGTGCAGCCACAAGTCACAGAGACCAAAATAACTTGCGACAAAGTTATGACAAACAAGGATGGAGTCAGCTAAAGACATGGCTCCTTAATCACCGGCCCTTGATGCCCAGAGGACGGTGGGGACTTGACTGACTGCCGGTGAGGCGTCTAGAGGAAAAGGAAGCCTGTGGTCTC